GTCATGAAACAACGAGAAGTCTGTTATAAAGACACTTTTCTTAAACCCCGTTTTTTCTCCTTCTTTATCTTTGTAAATAAAATACTGCTATTGCGCCATCAGACCGTCACGCGGGTCGGTTTTAACGGAATATTGCTGCCACTGTGCACAGCGCACAGACCAATTACATATTATAAAACCTTGCCAGTTGAGAAAGTTGTTGGTGATCCAGCGAAATTAAGAATGGGAGAGCCCACGCGAACCAACAATGAAGGCCGGAGCGAATGAGTGGGGAGTGAGTGGCATGCGCAGACAAGCAGAACGCATCGCGTGATAGGCCAGCCCAGTCTAGATTATCTAGGCATACCGTGCCTCTCACTTCTCTGGTGCGGGATGGAGAAGTCACAATGCTGTGATAGATGGAGTGATTGTGTGACGTGCGCAAGAAGACGCAACGCATCACAGGGTGTGGTGGGGTGGGGGACAACAAAGAGGGCGAGTTAGCCTAGAGCCAGACCCCCTTCTTTTTGATCGCCAACGCCGAGCTGTCAACATTGTTGGTGCGAGAGAAAGAAACCTAATTCGATTTTTGATCAAGTAAGACCTAGAGATCATGTTGAACAAATCATCATCAGGGGAAATATAAAAAGGAATAAACAGAACACCAAACTCATAGATTAGGCCTACTTTACCATTTCCCTTGAATTTATTATTGGATCCCTTGTAACGAGAATCCTGCTATAACGGACATTTCGCACCGGTCCCCTCCCTCTCGTTATAACAGGATTCCACTGTATTGGTATTTCCTATCACTATAATAATATCACCGTTCGTAGAACGGGTCTGTATATAATAATAATAATAATAATAATAATAATAATAATAATAATAATAATAATAATAATAATAATAATAATAATAATAATACCTGTAACAATGAAAACATCATTACTACTACCACTGCAAAAACAATAATAAAACTTTAAAGCAAGAAACAATCTCAACTTTTTGGAAAGCATACAGTATAAGCTGCAATTTCTGAACGTTAAAACACTCACACACTGAACGCTAAAACACTCACATACTGACAAGATCATCCTCTGTCGATGGCAAGGTACCCTTTCCCGCCTGGGTAAAAGGAAACATGGAGTAAAGTACCTTTTCCAAGGACACACCGTCGGACCTGAGGTTCGAACTTTCGAGCTCGAAACATCATCGTACGAGTCCGGTAGCCCTACTACTACTACTACTACTACTACTACTACTACTACTACTACTACTACTACTAATACTACTACGACTGCTGCTACAACTGCTACTACTACTACGACTGCTGCTGCACCTACGTCTATACGGTCTTTGTTGAGGTACTTCGCTCTTGTCCTAAAAAATACGCGAGTTTTGTTGTCTGAACGGAAAGTCTTTTTTTTTCGAGAACTGGCAACTGTTTCTCACCCAGTCATGTTTCTCCCTGGTTTGCAGGATCAATTAAAAAAAGTTCTTGTTGATTTGTTAAATGGTAGGACGAGTGCTTGGTGGGCGCTCTGGTGTGGTCCACTCCTTCTGTTTCCTGGTGTCGATTAGTGTCGATAATCCAATTAAATTAAAGGAATAAACAATCAAGCCCCTCGGTCAGCGCAAGGACAATGAAGAAAAATCCCAGGAAAACACAGCAGAGTCGACGGGTCCTGTGGGTTTTATGTTTCTATCGGCACATAATATAGGCCATTTCAGGGACCACCAATAACTGGAGAGAGTGCTAAATATAAATTTCTATGAGTGGAAGGAGCAGAAAACGACAATAGCAAAACAGAAAGAAGGAAAAAACCACTTCAAAGAACCCAAGCTCTAGTCAAAAAGTTCACAAATAACTAGCAGAGCCCAGAGAAATTAGGTTTCTATGACAATTAAATATGATTTAATTAATGTGAAACAACAACAACTATAGAATCGGACTATAAGAAGAAGAAACGCCTGAAACAAGGTTGAACTATTCGATGTATTCAAAATTAGGTTTGACGATTCACTCACAAATGGACTCGATTACCTGCTTTGAGAAAGTTCTGCCCGCCTCATTAAGTCTAGATGTCTAGATCTAAAAAAACGAAGTTCTAGAACTGAGAGAGCGAGCTCTCTTTGAAATATGAAGGCTTGAACGACATTAGTGTTAACCAGTTGAACCCTCAAAGCATATATATATGCACACACACACACACACACACACACACACACACACACACACACACACACACACACACACACACACACACACACACACACACATATATATATATATATATATATATATATATATATATATATATATATATATATATATATCAACAAAACTAGTTGCCGCCATCAAAGATAGTACATAACAAGATGGTCCCCTCAGCCAAAAAAGTGTCCGCCGGAAGTCCGCTCTTTGCTTCAGATGGCGCTGCAGTCTGTTTTGAAGCTCTCTTTTGTTTCTCTAGAAGAAGAATACGAATAGCACCTCCTTGCGTGCGAGGATCGACTGCTGTTCTTCAGCAGTTCGGGTTCGTTCAATGCGGAGTTTTAGAGGTTTTAAAAAATTTTAAAGACCTCTCGTCTTTCATTCTAAAGTCAAATTAAACGAAAAATGCAGTCACCCTTTCCTCCGGAAGAGGTTTTTTGTCAGCGTAACCATTTTAAAAAAGCGTTCTTCCGAAATGTGAATTCTTATTTAGTAAAATACTTGTTAGTTTCACTTTGATTTATTTAACACAAGTAGGGTAACTCAATTCGCAAAGGGTGCGCATTTGCGAAGAGGGCGCCACCGAATTTTGAGGACACTTTTTTCATTGGCTCAAAGAGAGGAGTGGACCTGAGTGGGCCCTCTTGTTAAGAAGACTCTTTGCCGCCATCTTGGATCGTAAAGCGTTTCGATTCCAGCCGTGGGTTCGAATACTTGGGGTCTTTTGTTACCCACACAGCATACAGATCGGATTAACAAGTAGCCTAAATTTCTTCTTTGGAAAGTGGGGGCACAAAGGTATCCCACGTCGTTTGGATACGACAGTAAAACACATACAAATAAAAAATAGCAACATGAAAACCGTGAATCAAAATACCAAACAGCAAGGTAACAAACCTGAAATATTTCTGTCTCGTTCAGGAAGACATGGACCCAGGTGTATAACGGTTTAAACTCCAACTTGGTCACATGGTACACAGCAGTGTTGAGACCCTCCACGGCTTGTCTCTTGGACGCGTTTTCCAGTATAACACGCCTGGATAAATAAAAAAAGAAGGAAAAAAAAGGCAAATGTGTGGCACTGCGGTAAAATTAGGCGCTTGCAAAGTTAGTGACATCCAAGAAACCGACGTTGGTTCTGCCGTTTTGACAATTTTAATCGAGTTTTTGCTTTTGGACTCAGCTTCTTTTATGCCAATTTAAAAACACACTTCCGTGTAGATTTTATTGAAAAATGTTTCTTAAAGGCAAAAAGAATGTGTTTTCCGTTTCCGGGGACACTCAAGCGGTGGAAGTCACCATATATTAGCGGCTATTCTCTCGTTAATTTAATCCTTGAAACTAAGCTACCTCACCTCCTACAATCGCAGATATCTCGACTTCTATCAATACAGAAGGGTAGTTTTTTTTTTATTGAAAACATGCCAAATGATTGAGCTATATATGATACCAAATCCTCTATGTGCTCAAAAATGACTCGCACCTGATTCCACGGCGTCGTGACACAAACGAAAATACGATAGTTTTTTTTTTTTTTTAATCCACAAAAATGATTATAAATGTTTACAATATATTTCTTTCGTTTCTCCTGAAGAAGAAAAGGAATAGCACCTCCTTGCGTGCGCAGATCGACTACTGTTCATTAGCTGTTCGGGTTCGTTCAGTTCGGTGTTTCAGGTTTAAAAATTTTTTTAATGACCTCTGGCCTCTCATTTTAAGTCAAATTAAACGAAGAAAACAGTCGCCTTTTCCTCTGGAAGAGGTATTTTTCTTTGTCAGCATAACCATTTTAACCATCGTTCTTCCTAAATTTGAAATCTTATTATTGAAAAACTTTTTAGCTCCACTTTGATTTTTTTTCACACAAATAGGGTAACTCTGTTCGCAAAGGGTGCGCATTTGCGAAGAGGGCGCCACCGAATTTTGAGGACACTTTTTTAATTGGCTTAAAGAGAGGAGAGAACCATCTTGTTATGTACGTTCATCCGAAATCAAATTGTACCGATATAGTTAAAAAATGGGCTGCTCTGATTACCTCCCTGCGAAGGAAGACAACCATGAATTGATAAGCAAAAATCAAATCAGCAATAAATCATTATGAATGTTAGCAATCTCAGTAACAGGATATATAATAAAATTACATCAATTTCAACAGTAGCAAAAGATACATATAAAATAATATATGTGAGGCAGCGTGGTGGAATCAGGCTCTCGTCAACTTTTGGGCATGTTAAGTTATTGGTATCATCTTAAAGCTTGTTCACGTGTCTTTATTTGGATGAAAAAATATCCATTTATCTTGAATACAAGTAGAGATATTTGAAGGAGGTGGGGGTTACCTGTTTTCAGAGGTAAAATTAGTCAGAAAATGGCCGCCAAAGATTTGTTATTTCCTTAGTTTAAGAGTCCGTGATAACTGAAAATTTACATTTTTTGTGCCTTTAATCAACGTTTTTCAGAAAAATCCACACTGAAATGAGTTCTTTAATGGGCATGAAAGGTGTTGAGCCAAAAAAAAAAAAAAAAAAAAAAAATTCACAAACCGGCAGAAAAATGCAAGTTTCTTCACTTTGATTATTTTGACGAGAGCCTGATTCCACCACGCTGCATCACATATATTATATATTAAAGAACAATGCCACAACAAGATTTGTAGCTGGTAAAAAGAAAAAGAAAAATGACAATAACAATGATTTCATTAGAACAAGTTTTCTTGTAACTTACCGGTCTTTGTTAGCCTCGTTTCCAGAATCTCTCTTGTGTGATATCATATCGTAACGACCAATCATCTTTGGATAGCGTAGTCTTGTGTACCCCATTTTCTTGACTCTGTGAAACGAACAAGCGTAATTTAATTAAATGATTTAAGCTAAGTTTTAGTCAGAGTTTCACGGCACTTGCAAAACAATAAGGTCATGTTATAGTGCGGTTAAAAATTTGGGATTCAATATTACCCGTATTTTGCACAGCAATTTATATCAATTTGTCCCAACATAACCATCTTTCCCGAATAACTGAGGTTAGACTAAAAAACTTTTATTTAAAACATAATTATTATGGAATACTACAAATCTCTGTCGCGCGGAAAATGGGAGCGTTCACAGAACTTTCTTCTTCTCACATGAATTTTGCATACATATGTGGCCTGCGTAACAGCTTACAAATGACACTTTTTACTGGCAAAACTTTAGACCACACATCAATACGATCTCTGATAAATGGCAAGTGAAATTGAAAAGAATCTCTTGCTAATACTTTATAACAAGTTTGATGCCATCATTCTTGACGTTATCAAGATACCGTTAGATTTCTAACCATATCCCTACGTCGTGTTTTACTATCGTATCCATACGACGTGGGGAACTCTGTACCACCACTTTCCAAAGAGGAAATTTACTTGTTAATCCGATCCGTACGTTTTGCATAGTAATCTGTCAAATTGGTTTTTTAGAAATACTGAAAGTTTCAAAGAGATCTTCATACTGGAAGTATTCTAAAATATGAATAATACAACCCCGGGGGTACAAAATGACCCCAGGGCGTACGGATAGGGTTAAGAATGTGCGATTCTTCACACAGTATAACCCACTCCTATTCAACGATGTGCTTGTGGCGGTGCGTTTTGGTTTGAACAATTTTAAATATAATTTATTACATGAGTTATGGAGTAAGATCATAATTTATCCAACGAGTGAAATTTCCAAGTAGCAATCACGAGTTTCAACGAGTGATAACAACTGGCAATTTCACGAATAGGATGAAACATGGTCTAACACCATAACGAGTGTAATTAATTGTTTATACCATACTGATATCAGCTGGCGAAATACATCCGTACCAACAAAGTTCAAATGACCAGCCAATTGGACAAGAGGATCCATTCTAGAGTCTCACTTGAAAACAACATTTTCATGCCCGTCGGTGCTTCGGGGGTCAGATTGTGAATTGGGGAAAATCTAAATTGTTTTCCTTTACTTTTAGCCACGCTAATTTACAAGTTGTGCTATCCGTATGTTTCCCTTCGTGAAACAAACCCCAAACAAAACAATCATAACGTAAATATAAGCAAAGTAATCAGAACATGTACGATTCAAAAATTTAATACGGCATGTTGTCGTTAGAATAGAGATGACTTTGATTTTGATTTTAAGCTTCGTGACCAAAACAAACCAAAGGCAAGGAGTTAGATCTAGAATCTAGATCTAGAATCTAGGTGCATTGCAGTGGCGGTGGGTAGTGAAGGGCTTACGGGCTAGAGCCCCTCACCCCCACCTCCTCCACACCCCAACTATATCCCTTAGTTAATGAAAGTTTCTTAAATAATGAAATAAGCAGTTGAAACCGTTGTGATCGCATGCAATGAACACACAGTTATCAGCGTTGCGGCTAGCCCGTTTATCCAATCTTTGTTGTCACCGCTTACAACTATAGTAACCTAACAGCCAACTCAATGTCGTTAGGGCTCAGAAAGAATAAGCCGGTTCCCACGACCGTCTTTAATGAAACTCTTCTTGTAAAAAGGTAAAAGACTTTTAAAAAATAACACTGCACAGAGGGCTCACGCTCTCTCAGCCCTGACAAAGGGGTGAAAGTTTACGACACACTTTCCCCCAGTGACACAGATACCTATGCGCCCATTGGGCCTTTGTTAGGCGCGTTCTGTTTTCAGCAACAACACGACCCAATCCACCTTATAGACGGTATGTGTTTGGAGTGGTGTGTGTTTGTGCCGCTGAGATTTAACAGTTGTTAATTACATCAAACCACTTTTGAGACAACTTTTCCTTCAGATAAAAACTAGTTAGAGAAATCTGGAGGTGAAACGGCTTCGTCTCCACCATCCAGGAGAGCTTAAATTTAACTAAGAACAAAGAGAGGGAAGAAAAAGGTGACTCTTCTCGTTTGAATGGTTCTCAAAATGCCGTGGCTCGTCGTGAGTATAGAAAAATCATCACTGTTTTGTTCTTATTGCTTGCTTTTTGGTGGTAAAGAAGTGGAGAAACCTAAGTCCCACCCAAATGGGGTCCACCCACCGCCGCTGGTGCATTGACATTGCATTACATTGGTCAGAGATGAAAAAAAATAGGCTTTTTAGCTACAAAAATCGTTACGTTTTTAGGATACTGATTTGCTGATTCTACTTATGTAGTTAGTTTTTGTCTATCAGGTCAGGTTTTTGCAGAATTCACATAAATCAATTCGATTTCCGATACTCTTAATTTTGTAAGTGGAGGTAATATATCAGAATACCACCGGAAGTAACTATTATTATTTCAAAAAAAAGTAATTAACCAAGAGTGTTTTACTCGTTTGTCTAAAGTCATATTTTTCCATTACATATTGCTTTTACTGTCTTCAGTGGTCGTGGATAATTCTCTTTTCTCTATGACTTGACTATGCTTAGTTTGGGGCTAGATCTAGTAATAGATTCTGGCTAATTTCTAGACTATAGCCAGTTTGAAGTTTCCAGTTTTCCTCCAATTGTTTTCGTACGGGTATTTTATAGATCTAGAATCTAGCTATCACTGGGGCGGGAAAAAAATTAATAATAAAAGCTGAAAATCTTCAGTTCCGGACTGTAGACACAAGTAGATAAGGTTATGTCTCATTAACTTGTGTGCTCTGTTTTGAACGTATATATCAAATTACAAGTGTATTAAACTGCTGCTCATCGCTGGGTTAGATCATAAATATAGATTCTATAGGCCCTACGATTGCAATTTTTAATTGGCCGTGCTATAATCTTACAGTAGTTCAATAGTAACATTCTGCATTTATTTGTAATGTGGTCTTATATTGAACTATATTTTGGTATACTCCCTTACACCACAATTCATGGCGATCGCACCCAGTTCCTTCTTATTCTTATTCTGTTTGGTGTTTTTGGGGGGAGTTGGAGGGGTGTGGGGGTGGGGGTAATTCAAATTAATAGCTAAACGATGTTTAAGAAATTTGTAGGTATAACGAATTAATATTAAAAATTTAGTAATGAGTTCTCTCAGTTTTCTTTAGGTACTCATCCAACATTGGTGCCATTAGGAGACATTACGTAGAAGTGATTTGTTGCCAAATTCTTTTCTCTCTTGCTGTTATTTTTGTTTTGTTTTACCAACAAATTGGTAATTCACTAATCAGCTTGTGTATTTTCCCAGCTTTGCTAATCTGTGAAGGCCCAGCTGACAACTGATAAGTTTGACTCATGACTGTAAATCCACAAGCCTGAATGTCAGGTCAACTACAGTGGCCCATCTAGGTAAAGAGAGCGGAGATGTCCTATGGGGTTGCTCACTCTAGTACAAGATGAGGAACACCTCACTCATTGGTGATGGAGATTCAAAATAATTCCCACTGTATTGGCTCTCAACCCCTATGATTCCATACTCATAAAGGAAGTGGTGTGTGTCAACCAATGTGGCAAAACAGTAAGTCAAAATTGATTTTGATTCTTACGTGTCATGAGAAATCAGAGTGACTTATTTCAGATAGGCTACCCGATATCGCTCTCAGAAAAACGCCTCACTTATACTTAGGCTATACTTATAGAGTGATTAGTTCATTGAAAACAATGTCTTATTCAGTTTAAGAGAAGAGAAGTAAAAAGCAAACAATAACTGCACTTTTATTGATACTGATTTGATTCAGATTACATTCAGGTTACAGATTAGGCCTAGTATTAGTGTGAGAGATAATACCCCCTTCACCTCCATTTAAACCTATTTATGCTCATCAACCGTGCTTCAATTCTTTTGCCAGGAATTGACACAGGTAAAAGTACCGTTATTGAAAATGAAATAATAGTTTGATGATAGAAAATTGCATGTTTAGCTTTGTTTTCATTACTGTTGAACTTTGCAAGCCTGTCACTGGTGATTTTGTTGGCTTGAAAAAAATACTTCCAAGAATGACAGTATGTAAATGAAACCAGTTTTGTATATCATATCATTTCAGTCTCAGCTCTGTACTTTGAAAAATCTGGGAGCCATCGAGGAAAAGAGAGGTGTAAAGCTTGGAGAGAAAGCCTTTGGCGCACTTACTCAGGTACCATATTTGAGGATAAGAAATTTCACTTGACTATCCCCTAATTTTCAAAGTCCCATCAATCAACAATTATTGTTCCATACCCCACAAGCAAAACTTAGCTCATTTGTGACCTATATGATGGATGTTGTTTTTGTTTTTTAATGAAGAAGGAAGCAAGTTCTCCTGAGACCTATGGTGCTTGTCATGCCTTGTGATGCTCGAGGGCCATGATGATGAACGCCGTTCATCATATTTTGCATTTGGCTTACTGCTTCATTACATGCATTTCATAAAACTAATAGCAGATTCACATTCCTCCACATTTTAAAGAATATTTTCAGAAATCTTTTCCTTTTAGAGATAGTAGAATTTATAAACTGGGTCTAATCATATATATGCAACCAACCACTAATCTTAGCGCTACTCTTTCTTTGTCCCTGGTGATCAAAATCAACAACTGTCTGGTGAAGCACAAATAACTGACCCAGTGTAATGAAGGGGTTAATGCCCATCGTCTTGTTGGCTCGTGCTTCATGCATTCACTCACTCCCAGACTCACAGAAGTGTGTCAGTGGAGAAAGGGAGATTATCACTAGGCCCTAGGCTAGGCGTACACAGTTGCCGAGTCGCTGGTGTGTAGTGTGCACTTAGATTGGGTACGCGGCACCTCTGGTGGCCAAGAGTGAAGGGGTTGTGGGGAAAATTAACATTAGTAGGCTTCATTTCAGGTTGGGGGCAAATAGTAGCCTATGTTTATAAAGGCGTTCCTTTTCGTGCTTTGGC